GCCATAAATTTTTTTACTTCTATTATGGTAATGCATTGCTTAATTGTATTCAAATATTGTGTTACATTAAACCTTTGATTATCAATGTATTGTATTCAAATGACGCATGTTTTAAATTTGAATGTTTGGTACTTTTTTATACCAGTTAATTAATGGAGTCAACTGCCGATCTGGGTTGTCAGTCAAAATCAAATGGCCATCGACGGGTATGGACGATGGACAAAGAATGTGCATTAATAGAGGGACTAAATGAACTTGTATCGCGGTTGGAAATGTGACAATGGTTTCAGATCGGGCTACACTGCATTGATGGAAAAACATATGAACAAAATATTCCTAGTTAGCAATATATCATCAGAGATACCGTATGGAAGAAAAATTATAGTTAATAGCTGATATGATGGCGATCTTCAGATTTGGTTATAGTGAAACCGGAAGCATGTTGGAGGTGAAGGATGCCGAGTGGAATGCGTACCTAAAGGTTTGAGTTTTTGTATTTGTTTAAGTTTTTATATATCCAAGCAAGAGTTGTAGTTTTTCTTTCGAGTGGTTGCGTATTTCTAAGTATTATATATTGCACAATAAACTATGGCATTTTTTGTTATAACAGGTTCAACCAAAGATTAAAACAATGCGGTTCAAGTTGAGACCTTTTTACGCTGATTAGGTTGAAGTGTTTGGAAAAGATAGGACAACCGGAGGGGGCACAAGGATTTACGGTAGCAGTCAATGAAGTCTTACACACCAGCAAAGAGCCAATATCGGTCCCTACAACATAACAAGACATGACATAGTGTTCATTTGATCCTCTACATTAAAACGTAATGGAGTCTTCTTTCGTTCAAGGTTGTGCAAATAGTTCTTCGAGTAAGGGAAAATAGTTGTTGAAAAGAGAACGTGCAAAGTAGAAGATCAAATTGTGTACGTTTTATTCATTATGTCAAATGCCAATGAGCGTCTTTATGAAATGTCTAAAGGAGCGCGTTTCCAACAAGCCGCAAAAGAGTAACGTACGACAGTGTATGAGGCGCAAAATGTAATTCCTGAGTTGAGGTGCAACTGATCTTAGAACGTATGTAAGGTCTTGAGGTGGAGTATGATTCCTTTTTTTCATGTTGTTGTGGGAATGTATATCCATACACTATTTAGGTGTTGAGGATGACACTAACTTTTGTGGCTTCAGTGTGATATCGTTTTGCATTGCTCATTCGATGGAGCGAGGTCCAATTATGTAATGTATTATGTACTTGAATCCTTGACTATTCAAATTGTAGTAGATGACTTTTATTGTGCAAATTACATTTTTTAATTGCTAGAGTTATTAATTTATAAAAAAGGGCTATATATACTAGTGTTTTAAAACACGCATAGCGCATCGCGTCGTGTTTTGGTCCTGATATTGCGTAGCGTAAATAGCATAGCGCATTGCGTAAGCTATTCGAGCAGTTCACTTTAAATGCCAAAAATAATAATATATATAACCATACAAGTAAATAAATAATTAAAATAGTCTTAAACCATAAACTTAG